ATCTACTCTAGCTGGCGTGTAAACAGAGACGACGGGGATGTTCGTTAAGTTATCCCTTAGTTATGTGTTGGACAGCCGGTCACTGACTGGTTCCTGCACGAAGAATTCATGCCTGGATTGTTGTGAGAGGGCGATTATTATGTCTTGCCTATCAGAAGAATCATGTGAACATCTGCGATAGAGGATATGATGAGGGCTGAATCATTCTAAGTTCAGAGAGTCACATTCTGCTCTTGAGAGCTGCATGCAGAGGAATGCTCACACATCCTGGTATGCAATACTTAGCGTGTTCTCTCGACTGAATAATCTAACTGGGATAGTATTCTCCAGCGTCATCGGGCCAGGGTTGCACAGCCCACCGGCTCCTGTGGGCGCCGTTGCGGGGCGCTTAGACGAGGTTTCTTGATGATATTTGGTACAGAATTGAGAGCAAAGTTAGTTTGCATTCTACATGTTGTCTTTGGCGCGCTAGCTTAGGGCCTTGACCACGGGGCTTCGATGGCAAACAAACCTATATAGGTCCACGGTCGCCACCTCGCGTTGCTGTCACACTACGGTATTTTATTGGGCATTCGACTTCTCAGAACTCGGTTTTGCGTGACCTAGTGATAATGTTGCTGTTGATCTTCGACTACTTATTTGCCTGGTCTGAGGGCCTGCCAATTTCTTTAGTTCCCAGGAAATCTTTTGAACAATGTTCCGTCAGATATAATCATGAGATTCCGCGAGAAGTTCATTTGGATGGAAGGCAGGTTCCAGTCACAAAGGACAGTCCGCGATGCCATTTCCTCTGCACTTGATCTTTAAACCCATTTCCAGTCGCCGATAACACAGCATTTGTGGCTAAAATCGTGGCTTTGGAATTTCGATCTTGAACATAATTTTACTAGTTCCTAACCATGTGCTTATTTCACTGACACTAGCATAACCCATCTATGGACTGACAAATTTCCGTGTTGGGTTCGAAAATGCTTCCCACTCATCATTGGCTTTTGATGGACTCTCTACGAGTCGGAGTCTAAATATCTTCAAGCCTACGAACCTCCTAAACGGTCATTCAACCAATGTAGGTTTTGCTACATCTTGCCGACCATCTTGGCCTGTCAGAGCCTAGGGCTGAACCCATCCCAGTTCTGATATGGTGCCTAAAGGCACAAGTTGTTGTTTTAGTTTTTGCCCGATCTTACAGCTGTTGTGATCAATAGTAGATAGGACATTATCGGGTGTGCGGTCGCATCGTGAGACATGGGAAAGAGTAAGAGAGTTCTATGCTTTCCATCCATAGTTAATGTAGCATCTTCGGCATTACTGACTGAGAGAGATCAGGAGTTGTCCTGAGAAGCGTCTTAGTCTGGCTTTAAGATTGTGATTTTGACTGTGGATGAGTGACGAGTCATCAGCTGATTATAAATCCGTAGACGGATGTATGACGGATAAGGTGATTAATGCAAACAGGGCTATAGCAGCCCCGAGTCTGCAGATGCGAAAGCTCGATAAGCAAATGTGTTCAGCCATCAGAAACTTTCTGTTTTAAATATCTGCGTAACTGTTATAAGGATGGGTAAGAATGGACAATGATGTGCCCGCAGCTCAAGTTAAAAAAAGAGCGAGGTTAATTTTAGAGGATTCAGCATGCTTGCGCCTATATTTTCAAAGGTGTCATACGGCGAATACATTACATTACAGTACGATACTTTATATTGCAGTCTGCAGCAGTGATTTATAACATGAATAGCATTCCGGTGGGGGGACTAACGTCGGCCAGAAAGGTGCGCTTGAGGGTTAACCAGTCAATAGAAGCGAAGAGATAAGTCCCAGGAAGCAGTCTTGAAGAAGGAGACACGATCGATGGGACAAGAGCTTTATTAGCCTGACGTCTCGGATTTCTGCTCGAACCCATCATCAGAGACAAAAGAAGACACGGGCGGTTCATGCACAACGGGACTGCAGTATTTATAGAATGCAGTCGCCATGCTACCGCATGCCTATAAATATTCACGACTCCCCCCTTCATCAGGGATCGTTGATCTTCGTGTGCTGACTGTTTGATGGCCGACACTCGCGTCCTTAATTGCTGAAATTTCATCAGGTGCAATGGTTAGAGTCGCTGATCTTCCAACACCGCAGACCGAAATTCTGGACCCAGCATGTGGATGATACCTCCGTCGTTATTGATCGGGATCAACTGCTGACATTCAAGGAGCATCTCAACGCCGTCTTCCGAGACATGCAATTTACGATGGAGGAGGAAAAGAACAACCAGCTGGCCTTTCTGGATGTCCACGTATGCCTCAAAGATTGTGGTGGACTAAAGACCAAAGTGTTCTGGAAAGCGACAAATACGATGCAAGTACTGAACTTCAACAGCAACCAGCCAATCAGCCACGGAAGCAGTTGTGTAAGGACTCTCTATCGGCGTGTCGAAACGCACTGCAGTGAGCCGGAAGACAAGATTGCCGAACTGCAATACCTCCGACGGGTCTTCAAAGCCAATGGCTACCCGCCCAACTTGGTCAACCGATGTATACGCAAAAGGGACAAACGGCCTAACCGCACGGCTACCAAATGTTGGCGAGCGCTTCCGCATGTCACGAACGTTTCGGATGCCGTCAGCCGCCCTCTCGCTCCACTTGGCGTTGGAGATGCACACAGACCGGAGGCAACCATCAAGCGTCAGGTAATGGAACCGATAGACTCGCTGCCACAGCAAGAAACGTCTTGAGTCGTTTATCGAATATGGTGCAGTTGTGGACAAAGCAACTACGTCGGAGAAACTGGAAGACAGCTCCGAACGCGAATGGCCGAACACGCTGCAGCAGTGCGGGGAAATGACGTCAGCTCTCAAGTTGCGGCTCATTCGATGAGATCCGGCCACACAATCAAATTCTTTGAGGTCGAAATTCACGCATGGGATGACAACTGCGTGAGCCGGGAGCTGTTTGAGTCATGGTTTACTGCTCCTCCCCCAGTTCATTAACAAGTGCAATGACCTTCGTCGTCCATACTCGGTGTTGAGACTTCGCCTAGGCGGAGTAATTGGCCACGCGGGAAGCGCACAGGTGAACACTTTTCCCAGCGTCAGGGTCGGTGGGTCAGATGGTCGAGCAATCATCACACCAAAATCCAATGCATGTGATGCAAATGCAGCAATTAACGACGCGAATGTCGGCCATCAAACAGTCAGCACACGAAGATCAACTTTCCCTGATGAAGGGGGGAGTCGTGAATATTTATAGGCATGCGGTAGCATGGCGACTGCATTCTATAAATACTGCAGTCCCGTTGTGCATGAACCGCCCGTGTCTGCTTTTGTCTCTGATGATGGGTTCGAGCAGGAATCCGAGACGTCAGGCTAATAAAGCTCTTGTCCCAGCAATCGCGTCTCCTTCTTCAAGGTCACGAGCCACGAGCCAATCACAAATGCGTATGATGACTGAGATATATTGACAGGTATCTATATAGTGGGACAAATTATAATTCTCAGGTAGGCCAATTTAAGGAACCCAATTACTAACTATTCGTCGATTGTTTGTACTTTCTGCAGATTTAATAATATGAGGACTTTTACTGTCTCCGTAAATCGCTTGTACCTACCTGCTCCCAACGCCTTCAGTTTGTGAGGATGATTTTCCAATTTGATTTGTGGTTTTTACCGGCTCATCCTCTCCAGTGAATCATTCTTACGCATTCTTTCGAAGTATTAAAAAATATGTCGTCGCCACCTACAGACGGCAGTTGGGCGAACGCTTAGCTTCTACCGCATACGACATCAACATTTTATTCGCACATTGTGAGCGCCTTCGACCTGTATACATTTTCGTTCACTCTGGACGTGTAGGGTGCCCCTTAGTGGCTCCTTGTTGGATTTGCCAGGCGAAAGTAGAACTGAATTTTATGACATCGTACTTATGCGTTGAAAGTAGGTCTATTTTCCGAGGATTGTTTTGGTTTTAGTTAATTCGGCATAGAATATTCTTCGAAATTTTCAATTTTGGCAAAGTATGATTACGGCCCTACAGGGAGTACGGCATCATTATCAGTCAAGAAGTGTTGATATCCACCATCTCCCATGTCCGATAAGGAAGCAAGCAAAAACGTTTTGCAAAAACGTGACAATTATCCCGAAATCGATGTGAAGTATTGGGGTTAATTCAAGCGGATTCGATTCAAATATTATCTAAACGTATGAGTTGAATGCCATTAATTTGGATGGTACGGCCGTGAAATGGATGGTTAAGCTTCTGACCATGAGGCGCACAAACAAGTTGTATTTAAATATATTAATGCTATACGGTTGCTACGTCACGGTTCAAAATATTCGAATAGCATAGTTCCATGAATTTCAGGTTGAAAATTAACGCTGTTGACTAGAGCTAGGAGGCCGAGTTCCGGAAAGCAGCGAGGAAGAAGAGACGATCGATTATATAGGAGCCCCACTCGCCTGATTTTTCTGATTCTACCCCTGGTGATAAATTTGAGTGTAAATCCGAATCACCAGGTGAGTAAAACGTGTCTTTAGGTTTCCACCGCAAGTTCGCACATAGCATGCATACGAACTCACCTATTTCATTTTTAGAAATGGACTACATAAGGAAATCATGCGGGAACGCTGCGGACCTACTGCTACAGAAAATCTGAAAAATGTTTTCTCAGACATTTGGCTTTTATCTTGTCTGGAAGTGCAGTAAACATACGCACGTACGACGTAAATTATTTATCCTGCTCTGCATTTTCGACTTCTTTCTGCAGCTGGAATCCGATGCAAGAGTCGAAGTATCAGAGAAACGAGGACCACAGTCTAAGTGTCATTTTCCACTGTAAAACATAAACTTTTCAGGATGCGTTCAACGTGACTTGAGCACGTCCTCAGATCGTGCCTCTAGTAACTGACAGTGCAGATGAGATCAAAGAGGACAGACTGCTACAGAAAATCACGCGTTTCGTTGACTCAGCCGAAAAGCTAAATGAATGCTCAAGATTTTAGGTTGCTCGCTGCGGTTATGACGTTTTACTCAAGAAGTCCTTTCGACAGCAACTGCAGTCCCTCTTGTCAGTGAGTGTTTAAAGTGCATAGCATGTATCTTTGACATTCATTTTTTTTCAACAGTAAGTATTGCCAAACGTCATTGGACTGCGTGATGGACCTATACTCTGTATAACATTTGCAGGAAGTTGCGCTGGGAATAATACACTCACGACGTAGTCGATCCCGTCAGTTTTGTTTCGTGCATCATTGCAAACCAAAAGTTTCACCAGATGAGAAACTGTTACAGAACGTACAGATTCTGGTGTTAGAATGTTAGGCAAATTAGGTTCATTCTATGTCTGGACGAATTTCAGTCTGTGGGATATTCCGCCCGTTAACCTGGTCGAGACACTCGAGTTAGTCAACCCTTTTTAACGAGGTTCTCCCAGCCGGGTCCACCAGGTACGGACGCAACTGCGTTCATTTTTAGTGAGTTTGATTTTGGTCCCTGCTATATCCTTTTCTTAGCATCGTCTTCCGAAAAGTCCAAAAGCGCGGTTGCGTTCAAGCTCATTTCCGTCTGTTTTATAGGATTCAGCATGAGGCCGACCAACGCGACATGCCATTTGAGATTTCTGGTCGACTAAGTGCACTTTACGCTCGGACAACGGGGAGCCGACCAAGATCTTCGAAATGTCAACACCTAATTAAGCCCGTCCCGGTGAGGCCGCCTTCTTCTTCTTCTTCATCTTCGAATCATCAACCTGAATCTTTCAACTTTGCCAATCTGAGCAAATTTTCTGAGTCATCAGTGCTCCATGCAGCGCGCCGTTTGGAGAAATTCACCCTGCGAATTTCATCAACTCAAGCGCAACTGCGCTTCCTCCACTGCTGTCTTGTCAACCAGTTGACCCCAAAAAGTGTCACCTACAAACCTCCTGTGAATTCTGCTCTGCACGGGAGACTGTGACCCCACATGGCAGAAGAGTTACGAGAGTGCTAATCCACGGTTGCCATCAAAGACTAGAACGCTAAAACGTAGAGATTGACCAATCTAAATCTCATCTCTGACCAGGCCGCCAATGAAGAATCGAAGGATATTGGGTTGACCATTCTCAGGCACGCTCAGAAAGTGCGTGTCAAATGAGATAAAGAAGTATCTATAAAACTGGAAAAACTTCGAGCACCAAACTCAGATAACTCATCCGGCGTCCTTGTCCATAACCTTTCCTCTAAACCCCTCATGAACACACAACTCGCAGCCCTTGAACGTAAAGTCACTTTCAATACAGCATATGCCGCACCCACAGAGTTTATTACTGCCTTCGAATCCGTTCTTCAGTCAATAAAGTCATCAGAGGAGACGAAAGATTTGATCCGCGGTCAAATCCGTCGTAACTTATGCGACAAAATAGACGCGAAACTCTTAACAATGCGGAATAGTGAGCACTAAAAAGCCTAAAAGCAAGCAAGGACGTGATTATTCTGCCAGTTGATTAAGAATTATCTACAGTCATGATGGGCAAATTGGATTACCAGAACAAATTACAATACTTACTTGAAGACCAGCACTCCTATAAACAGCGAAATGAAAAATCTAGCCACTCGGATAAACAAAAGCCTAAGAAGCCCCAAGGCCGAAGGGGTAGTTACGCTCAACGACTGGTCCTGCATGAAACTCACTGACTCCGTCACGGCTCGTTTTTACGGCCTGCCGAAGGTACACAAGGAAAGTGTCCCACCCAGGTCCATCGTGTCCCTTCGGGGAACTCCGGCGTAGGGTTTGGCAAAATGCATGTTTGGTCATCTTAAGTTTTTGACCGAAGGCTTACTAACAACGGTAGCATCTGCGAACCAATTCCTCAAACGCATAATATACCCGGAATTAGGGCCAGGCGAATCCATGGTATCATTTGCTGTCGTTTCGCTCTTCACCTCCATTCCACAGCAGCTAGCGAAAGACTTTGGAAACCAACTACTGGCTGAGCGCAATGAGGAGAGTAACAAGCCCCTGAAGTCCGATCATCCGTTTAAACTTCTGCATCACTGCCTCAAGACCTATTTCACCTTTGGTGGACAAATGTGCGAACAAATTAAGGGCACTTCCATGAGCTCCCCTCTGTCAGGCCTAGTTGCTAAAGTAATTCTTCAACGGATAGAACGCTTAGTGTTCACTAAGTATCAACCAAAGTTCTGGACTCGCTATATCGTCGTTGTCAAAACAACCGACACTGAGCACTTAAAAGAACTACTGAACTCGGTTGACCCCAACATTCAATTCACGATGGAAGCAGAAACAAACAACCCACTGCCCTTCCTCGACGTGCTTGTGCGCCTGAGTACAAATGGACAACTGCAAATCACAGTATTCAGAAAATCTACTAACACGATATAAATTCTACTATTCAGCAACAATAATCCTGTCTCACAAACGTAACTGTGTCCGAACTCAATTCCAAAAAGTCGAATCACATAGCAGCACGCCGGAACGACTTTAACTTCAGAACCTCTTTGCAGGGAATGGTTATCCCAGACATTTTGTCGAGGGAAGCGGACGCCGAGCGCACAGACGGCGGTCAAATGAGCAGCAACCCCAAATTTGGTGGCCATTCCCTGCGTTAAAGGACTTTCCGAGGCGGTGTGTCGATTGCTACAACCCACCAGAGTAGGCATAGCCAATCGACCCCAGGCAACACTACGTTGCCGTCCGATGGAACCTAAGGACACACTACCACCCGCTGAAATCTCAAGAGTTGTTTACAGAATCAATTGCAATGAGGGCGACTGCAACTCTATTGGGGAAACCGAGAGGAAATTGCAAACCCGTCTGCGAGAGCACAAATCGCTGACTCGGAAACTAGAACCAAACTCTCAACTAGCAACGCACGCCGGAGAAATTGGACATACTTTCGATCCCTAGAGAACTACCATCTTAGGCTGGGGCAGCACAGAAGCAGAACGGCTAACACTCGAAGCTTGATACTCCGATGCGAAGTCCGTCAACAGGCCCCTGGACCTTCCTATAGCCTGCAAAGTCCTACGTCATCACGTGCGTAGAGCTCGGAATCAGGTAACCACAACTAACTTAAAAGGCCATACAGAGACAGCCCGACGGCGAGTTTACTCGGCGAGGAGGAAGAAATACCAGACCGACCACCCGACTAAGGTTCAATTACCTAACCCGAAAGAAGCGGTGACTCACACAGTGCACAGATAAAACGCCCGCCAACCATCCCCCGAGAGGCCGAGACAGCGAGAGAAGAGAAAAATCAATCAGCATAAGGCCGATCGACGCGACATGCAGCTGGAAATTTCTGGTCGATTGAGTGCACTTTACGGCGTGACAACGGGAAGCCGACCAAGCTCTTCGAAACGCCAGCACTTAAATAAACCCGTATCGTTGAGCCCGTTTTTTTTCTTCACATCATTAACCTGTATCTGTCAACATTGTCCATCTGGGCGGATTCATCAATTTCACGGATCTTACCAGGACTCCTTCCAGGGTTATTTACCTATTAAGCTCATGATAACGAAAAGCCCAGTGTGGGCGGATATCAAACTGAAAATAAAGCAGCAGAGAATAGTGGATTTCACATATATAAGAGACTGAGACTGTAGACGAACAGAAAAAGTCAAAACACGAGGGTGTTGACGGGCTGCGTTGACCACATGCGAACTTACAACTACTGCCGTGCTTGCGTATGAAATGAATTAAACGCATGTGTCACGCCACGTCATCCACTGCGCCCAGCCCGGTAAAAATCATCAGACGTTTGACAGAGTCGGACATCTGACGGAGACATGGGAAAAATTAGAGCGAGCAAGACCGACACTAGGGGCTCCAGCACCAATGCAAATCTTTTCATTCCTCAGTATAATAAATTCTGCATGACTCAATCCATCCCGACACGCTAAGTATCCTGGCACGGAAGGCGGTCGGTTGACAAAGTAGTCCGACAACCCTGGCCGAATGCAACATTTCGGCATTGCTATCCTTAGATTGAGAGATGATGCGGGGTGCGTATTATAGCAAAAGTAAGACAGTCTGGATGCATTATTGAAATATGTTCCTCTCTTCTGGAATGAAAGGAACGAATTCATCAAATTCCGTAAATCGTTCCATAGTATGTCAGGGCCTCATGCCCATAGTTACAATTGACAGCCATCGAATAAGGCGCCCCTAATAGCGTCCGGTCCTTCCCAATATACTGTCCACTTTTGGAATGATTCCTAATCTTGGTCGCGCAATGCTCTTCCCGACAAAAGCGAAAAGGCGTGTTTCATGAAGCAGTTCATAAGAATATGCGGTCGCCGGAACGAGGAGTTTCTTGGCCTGACTTCTCGAATTCTCACTCGAACCCCTCGTCACAGACAGTTGCGATAAGGGTGATAGAGGTCCAAGGAACTCAATGACCCACTGCCACTGCAGGAAATATGTGGATTATGTTACTGGGTTTTGTACAGTTGCGGACATGCGGTAAATGCTTCAGTGAATGTCGGAGATAACTCCGCACGCGCATGACCGAACACGTAATAGCAGTTAGGAGGAAGGGCGTTAGCTCTCTGTTCGCGGTTCATTCGACGGGACCTGGCCAAGCCTTCAAGCTTGACAAAGCAAGAGTTGACAACCGCGTGAGCAGCGAGTTGCTTGAGTAGTACTTCTTCTGCCCGCGCAAAGGTCTCCCGGCCCCATATTCTGGACTGAGACCCTGTCTGGGCAAAGTAATTGGTCAAACAGAGAGGGCGTGCGCGACCACCACTTCCAGTGACAGAGAACCAAACTGCCGAGAAATCCTCCCGCCAAGAATCAAAGACGGTGGTGAAATTATGGCGAGTACTATCTCGGGTGACGCCTAATAATACGCCTTTGCATTAGATGTGACCCCCAGAAAAGAAGGCGGATGCTACTAATAGCAGGCATGTGGTTGTATGGTAACAGAAGTCTGCAAATAAAGGGATCTCGGTGCTTCCAGTACCCATATCGGGGGCCGTCTCTAATGATGAGCTCCTGTACGGATCCCAAACGTCGGACCAATAACCACCTTGTCCCAGCGATCGTATCTTCTTCTTTTTCTGAAATGCACGTCTCCGTGGCACTTCATCTATCTCAAACATGACAGACGCAATCGTAGACCTTGTCCCACGTGCCTTCTCTACTAGCTGATGATGACTAGCCTTGGGATGTCGGTTTTCTATTTGGCTGCTGAAACTACTTTTGAGAGCAGTCTGATCTTGCGCGTGCGTGTGGAATGAAGACTTCGGTAGAATCGTCCGAAGTTAGCTCCTGCCTGTTGGCGGAAACCGAATTGTCAACAGCTAAAAAGCTGATACTGCCGTCTGACCCTGACACGTTTACCGTCCCACAATGCATCCGTGCATCAACAGCCCTTCAAGGTTTCATTGTCTGCCCAGCACGTGATTTTCTTATCTTGGTCCAGCCTCCTTGAATTCCGACTTGGAACAGTCACTGAGCGTGAGTGCGACCTTTGTAAGTGGAGTTTCTTTTCCCCTAACGTATACGGCCCTCCGCTATTCCCCAACCTCTGATTCGACTAGGCATGCGATCTACCTATCCGGTCGCCAGACTAACCGACGTTCATTACAGAAGGCAGAAACGATTGCCGTCTGAACGTGTGGCATGCAGTTTGCTTTGTCCAAGGACAAGAAAATGATATTTCCGGATGGAAAAACGTTGTTTGGGACTGAATGCAAGCAGCACAAATATCAGAGGGTACATGCTTTCGTGTTTCTACCAGGAAGCATTTGGAAAATGTGGCACCGTAGCAATTTTATTATTCTACCCCTGCTTCGAGCAAACTCTCTGTCCTGTCTGTGGATTGGCATTTAGGTCGTGTTGGCAGTTCCATCTGCCGTTATGCATACTAATGACGCCAAAAATCTGCATACTTTTGACTGTCCGACAAAACAATTATTGAAATATGCATCTCTGACATACTGAGATGCTCTATG